TCCTCCTCCTCCTCCTCCTCCCCCTCTTCCTCCTCCTCCTCCTCCTCCTCCTCTCCCTTTTCCTCCTCCCCATCGTCCTCCTCCTCCTCCTCTTCCTCCTCCTCCTCCTCCTTCTCCTCCTCCTCCTCCTCCTTCTCCTCCTCCCCCTCAGGATGGACCTCGGGAAGGGTCTGGGATCGGTTTGACTGCTTGTATCGGGATGACGATCAGTGGCAACGATAGGGGGGGAGGCATAGGGGGACGCATCGGCACCCAATCGCCCACTGATCGCCGACAGGGACCAGAGACTCCCAATCTGCACAGGAAGGTGCAGATCACCATCAGGGGCCTATCGCCGATCTACTGGCGATGTATCGCCTATTCCAGGCCAATGCATCCCCCCCATATGCAAGCCCACCCCCTACCGTTGCCCCTCAGAGGAGGAATCATTACCTCTAACCAGAGAGACGCTCGTTTTATTCAGACCCTCTCTTGGCGCAGGCTGAGAGGAGGGCCATCGAGAGCTTCATTTCGTTGGAGGATGCGGTCCGCGTTACGAAGCTCGAAGGAGGAGGAGGAGGAGGAGGAGGAGGAGGAGGAGGAGGAGGACGAGGAGAAGGAGCAGGAGGAGGAGGAGGAGGAGGAGGGGGAGGACCAGGGACATGATTGTTTGCATCGATGCCTGTGCCTCGCTTTCGCATGTATTGGGCCTCCTGGAAGCCGTCTCCGTTGCCTCGGAGTCGTGGTCGGAATTTACGCCATGCGAGAGCTTTGTGGCGTAGCGAGTAGCGGTAAGTATTGTTCTCCCGCAGGTGGTGGGTAAGGCCATTTGACAGGTCCGAAGCCCTGAGATCCTTGAACGAAGGCCCAGGGCTCACGTCGACATTCCACCCAACTCATTGACGACAAACGCACTGCTCTTCCCACGATATTCTTCCTTCTCCTCCCCCTCCTCTTCCTCCTCCTCCGCCTCGTCCTTATCCTCATCCTCGTCCACTTCCTTGTCCAGATGGTTTGGCACAAGACGGGTGCAGTGATGAGTGTTTAGTCTGTATGTTCGTTTGACCAGAGTGTCGTTGGTGGCGCCACAGTTGGCGCCGATCTGCAACGGACAATGCCAGCGGTATGTAGAATTATCGGGGTATGATTTGGACGCTTGTGCTGGAGCAGGTCTCGGTGACGTCGGCTGGGAAAGCAACGGCGGCAGCAACAGCAGCGAATATGTCGTAGCCTTCGGTCCATCCCGCCCCATCGGCCTTCTGAATGCCTCCTGGGTCGTCTCGGGGATCTTCTGGGGGGTCTTTCAGAAGACTCTTTGAGGCCCGTTCGGGGCCCCTTCCGGGTCTTTTCTGGGTTTCTCTTAGCGTCCCTTGGGAGGTCCCTTGTGGGTCTTTGTGGGCCTCTTGGGGCCATCTTGACGGAATGGGATCGAAATGTCAGCTCGTGTTCCTCCTCAGGGACCCACATTGGAGGTATAGTAGGGGCATCTTGAGCTCTCTTTGGATGCCTCGTGGTGGGCTCTCTTGAGGGCCCCGTGGGCCGTCTTGGGCGCTGGGACCAGAAAAAAAAACAGCATGCTCGGCCATATTCGGCCGGCCTCTTAGGACCTCCAAGACGGCCCAAGGGGCCCGGAAGAGAGCCCAAGGACTGTCCCTTGGGGCCCTCTAAGAGCCTGATGCATGTTGAGACCCGCGTCCATGCTCACAGGGCCTCTGAAGAAGTCTCGCGGTGATTCCCAGAAGCGCCCAAGAGCGCCCATACCCTGGCACATGGGCTCCTCTACTGAGCATTCACAAGACGCAATACAGAACTCGCATGGACCTGATGACTGATGACATTCCACTCATTACCTTCAGCACGTTGCCGTGGCCTCGGCCACGGTGCCGTGGCCGAGGGCTCTGGCAAATGTGTATTTAAATTGTCGCCATGGAATCTGACGTCTCGATATAGACGTTCAGTACACTGTTGGACGGCTCAACTTGGAAGAGCCCTGATGAAAGCTCGACGCTGCTGATCAATTCGGTGTTAACGCGGCCACGCTGCGGGAGCACGCTGACGAGTGCACAGAGAGGGATACGTATGAGGAGGCGACTAGGGTCCTACGTTTCTTCCTGGCGTCCTGTTGATCAAGGGCGCGCTCCAGTTAAGACAGAAGAGGCTCCAGGTTGCTCGGCGTGTCGAAAAGAAGCAGAGCAGAATCAGAGGTAACCGAGCACCAAAAGCCAATGTGCCATCAGACGGCCGATGAGGATGTTTACCCGTCAACTCGCAAGCGGGCAATGATGGGCCGCACTGATGGGCAAGGTAGGAGAGGGAGGAGGAGGAGGAGGAGGAGGAGGAGCAGGAGGAGGAGCAGGAGGAGGAAGAGGAGGAGGCGGGGGAAGAGAAAGAGGAGGAGGAGGAGGAAGAGGAAGAGGAGGAGGAGGAGGAGAAAGAGGGGGAGAAGGAGGAGGAGAGGGAGGACCTCCCCATTCTCCCTTCTCCCCCGTCCTACCTATGGTAGTGGTGGTGGAAAATTGGCCCACCAGGCAACCGTCTCACGGTGACCGAATTGCCGCGCTTTCCGGACACGGCCATGGCGTCGGCGATCTTAGGAGCTGCTCTGGAGAGCAGGCCGTTGCTGCCTGTGGGGTCTACTGTCAGACGTTCCAGGTCCTATGCCGGCACCCCAGTGGTCTACTGATGATCCACTTGCCATGCCATGCCCTGAAGACGTACGCGAAGCCAGAGACGTGGAGAGTGGGGGATGCGACCATTGCAACCCCGGCGGTCTCACCGTGGCACGATGCGCCGCGAGTGGCGGCTACAGAGCGGGGCACGGTCCGTCTCGCCTCGCGCAGTGATAGTCCCGCCTCGCGCTCGCACATCAGCCCGAGAGGGCCCCGCGCCCAAGCGCCACCACCCCGGAGTGAGAGGCTCGCTCGGTTTGCCTGACGGCGCATCCCTAAGATTGTCATCGCCTTTTGGCGTGTCAATCTTAGGGATAGCGATAAGTTCGAGGCTGGTAAGCTCTGGGCGCCGAGTCGAGCGCCTGCCGCGCCAGCCGCCTCGGCGGGGAGCCGGGCCGCCACGTCGGCCGGGCGCCCTGCTGCCGAGGCGCCGCAGCTCCAGGGGCGCAAGCGGAGAGCGGCGGCGCAGCAAGACTCAGGAGAGGAAAGAACACACAGACACAATGAATCCTCGATTCCTCAGAAAATATAAGAAAATATGGGAAGTGGGGGGGGAAAATACACACACACAGAGAAAATATGTGAAAATATTGGGAATTCTTGTATTCGTGTGTATTTATTTGTGTCTCCCAGGGCCCCTTCACTGATGGGCGGTCGCCGAGCAGGGGTAGGATGAAGTCGGGCCTGTCCCCCTACAGGAGAAATATTCAAAGATAGTCAAAACATAGTCTGGGGACGGATTTTTTTATGCGTACTTTTAGCATTTGTTGTGCGGGTATTTGTTGAGCATCTTTCATTTTTCGCCTGAAATCCCCCTGTAGGGGTACACGCCCGACTTAAGGGTAGGAGGGGTTCTGTGATCAGGCGCGACAGAAGGACGCACACGTAAATGAATCCACGCTGGTTTCGAGAGTTCGCATTGCGCGAATGTTCGAATGTTCGTATCACGCGGCCGGTCTCGCGGGTCAAGGGGCCGTGTTCATGTGCATAGCTGGGCGCGTACGTCCTTTGTGGGCTCCCTATGTGAGGAGGGGGGCTGACGCACGCCCTGACGCAGAAGCCATCCTCTACATACCGCCACCACCATGCCTTGCCAGGGCCATCCTGGGCTTCAGGACGGTGTACAGACCCCTCTGAGCCTCGGCCAGGAGGGCGGATCCACGATGCCGGGGCTCGAGGTGGCCCTGGCCAGGCATTGTGGTGGTGGTGGTGCAAGAGTGTTTCTTGCACAGACGAGGCGGACGGGCAGACCCTGGCCGCCCCAGGGCGCGGCCCCTCCCCGCCGCCGTGGGCTTCCCTCGAGCTGCACGCAGCCGCGGCGACGAAAGCCTTCGGATACGACGCCGGCGCCCGATGCCGGTCGTCCGAGCCCAGTCTCCCGCGGTCGCCCGTCGCCCGTCGTCGCCCGCCGTCCGCCCCCAGGCCTCCAGAGGATGTGTGTTTTCCGCCAGTTTTTTTCGTTACTGGGGCAAGTTTACTTGCACGGCGTTCGCCCCCACCCCCCCCCCCCACCCCACCCCCCCACGCCCATCCCCGCCCATCCCCTTCCGCCACCCTTTCCAACAGCGCCGGGCCGAAAAGGCGCACAAGTAAGGCCCGACTTGCGTGAAGTCCAAGCCCTCACCAGGCCCCCCCCCCTCACCAGGCCCCCCCCCCCTCACCAAGCCCTCACCAGGCCCTCACCAGGCCCTCACCAGGCCCTCACCAGGCCCCCCCCCCCTCACGCCGAGCCATCCTGCCAGAATCGAAACACAAGCCGCCTCTGCAGCGCGCGGCCCCACAGGTCCTGGCCCCCTTCCCCGGGGCAGATGTTCCCTCGGATCCGCTTTTTCGACTGCCCCGCGGCCCGATCGCGGGCCCCGGAGGCCCCTCCTGGCTCGAGGGGCACCGCCTCGCGCACAGGCAGGCCTGCGGCCCCGCCCGCCCCTCGGCCATCGGGTCTCGTGCGGGGCGGGGAAATGACCACAGCCACTGCTTCTTGTTTGCGTCGGGGACGGACAGAACCCCCAACAGCGACACGTCGATTAGTGGATTGTCCGTTTTCGGTTCTCGAGAGGGCGCCGTGGCCGTCATTTTCCAGGCTTGCGCCCGCCAGGTTTGGGCTTCGGGTCGTTTTCACTAAACCACGTTTTACTAAAGGGGGGTCTGTCCATCCCCGATTGCGCCGCCTTCCAGTCGGCCGAAAAAGAAGCAGTGGTTGTGGTCATTTCCTTGGTGCCCAGCTCCACGAAAATGACCACAGCCACTGCTTCGTTTCTGCGGGCCGGAAGGCGGCGGCAAGAGAACAGCTGTGGCTGTGGTCGTTTTCACGCCCCGTGTCTCGTCGTGCCGTCGCCGCGCGCGTGCGCGGCGATGGTCGCGGGCGGCGCGCCCGCGGAGACCTGCTGCTGGCGCGGGCCGCGCAGGCTCCTGCGGGGCGCCGCCGCGCGGCCGGCCGCCGCCGCGGCGCTGGAGGCGGCGGCCCGCGGGCGGTACCTCGCCGCCTACGCGGCGCCCCGCGGCACGCCGCCCGTCATCGACGGGGACGTGTTCAAGGCGGCGTGGGCGGCGGCCCCGTGGAGCGAGCCGTTCGTGGAGATCCGCGGGGTCGCGGATGCGCCGCAGGGGACCGGTCCCTCGGCGGCGCAGGAGACGCGGATGAAGATGCTCTGGGACGACGACTACCTGTACGTCGCCGCCCTCATGGACGTCGCCGAGGGGGACGAGCTCGTCGCAAAGTTCACGGAAAGGAACACGCCGATCTTCCACACGGACTCGGACTTCGAGGTCTTCATCGACCCTGGTGGTTCCAACCACGGGTATAAGGAATTGGAGATGAATGCGCTGAACACGGTCTGGAACCTGATGTTGGACCGGCCATATTCGGTCGGCGGGTCGGAAATCAGCGGCCGAGTGGCTAAGCCTGGAGAGCCGAGGCACTGGGATGTGCGCGATCAGCGAACAGCCGTCAGGGTGCTCAAGGGGCGGCTGCACGACGCTGCGCAGGCCTCCCAGTGGTGCTGCGAGATCGCGCTCTCGCACCAGGACACCCTCGCACGGCTGCCCGACAGCACGCCCAGGCCCGCCCTCGGGGGCTGCTGGCGCATCAACTTCAGCAGGGTGGAGAAGGGTGGCCAGGTGGATGGGCATGTTTTCACCACCACCACGCGTGGGACGGGGGAAGGAGCTGGAGGACGAGGAGGAGGAGGAGGACGAAGAGGAGGAGGAGGAGGAGGAGGAGGAGAAGGAGGAGCAGGAGGAGGAGGAGGAGGAGGAGGAGGAGGACCCCTCGCCCTCCAACTTATGGTGGTGGTTGTGGTGCAAGACAGGCCCATCACAGGTCAATTGGGTCTGGACGCCCCAGATCGTGTGGTCGCCGCAGGATGGCCGGTACAAGGGACAGGTGAACATGCACCTGCCGGACGCGTGGGGCTACGTCGTCTTCGCCGACGCCGCGGGGCGGTTGGAAGGCGGGCTGCCCGCCGGGCGCTGGCAGGACCCCTCGCTGCCCGCGCGGCACGCCGCGTTTGCGGTCTACTACGCCGCGAGGGCCTACGAGGATGCCCACGGCCGAGCCCCGGCAAGCTGGCGGGACCCCGAGCTGCAGCGGCTCGCCGACCCGGCCGCCGTGAGGGGCGCGAAGGCGACGACGACGACGACGACGACGACGACGACGACGACGACGACGACGATGATGATGATGATGATGATGATGATGATGATGATGATGATGATGATGATGATGATGATGATGTTGATGCTGATGATGATGCTGATGATGATGCTGATGCTGATGATGATGCTGATGATGATGATGATGATGATGCTGATGATGATGATTATTCTGATGATGATGATGATGATGATGCTGATGTTGTTCATGATGCTGATGATGCTGATGCTGATACTGATGCTGATGATGGTGATGGTGATGATGGTGATGATGATGATGATGATGATGATGATGATGATGATGATGATGATGATGATGATGATGATGGTGATGGTGATGGTGATGGTGATGGTGATGGTGATGGTGATGGTGATGGTGATGGTGATGATGCTGCTGCTACTGATGATGCTGATGATGCTGCTGATGGTGCGCGAAGGTCGCCCTGCGCCCCGCGGGCGCGGGCGGCGGCTTCCTCATCGAGGCCTCCTGCGCGGGGCACGTCGCGGAGCTGACGCGCGAGCGGCTCCTGCAGGTGCGGGCGCTGGGCTGATGGGCGCCGGCCGCGGGGCCCCGCCCTCTGTCCCGAGGCCCCTCTCGCCAGACGCGCGCTCGGGCGCGTCGGCGAAGGCAGCTCCTCCCCCCCCCTCCCCAGACATGACCGCGTCGTGCAGAACAATCGGGGCTGGACAGAACCCCCAACAGCGACACGTCGATTAGTGAACTGTCCGTTTTCGGTTCTCGCGAGGGCGCCGTGGCCGTCCTTTTCCAGGCTTGCGCCCGCCAGGTTTGGGCCTCGGGTCGTTTTCACTAATAAAGGGGGGTCTGTCCATCCCCGAAACAAATCAGGGCGGGAGGTTTGGGGCCAATCTCGGCCTCGGGGGGCCCTCGCTGGGCCTAGGGGCCGTCCGAACGCGACTCGGGACGAAAAGCCAGCCCCGGGGAAAGGGCCGGGACTCCCAGGGACTCCTTCTCTTTGTTCTATCATTTTTGAGAAATGATTTTTTATGTATTTGTGTATTCATTTGTGTATGTATTGTTTTTTATTTGTTTTGCTTTAATGAAGTCGCATGTCTGGGCCCTCCCCTCCCAGACATGCGACGTCCTGATTTTCTCCGCACGGCGCCCCCAGGAGTCCCGACCCCTTCCGCGGGGCCGGCCTGTGATCCCGAGTCGTGTTGTGACGGTCCCGGGGCCCAGCGAGGGCCCCCGAGGGCCGAACATTTGCAAGAACCGCCGGTCCTGTTTTTTTTCACGACGCGAGCGCGTGGGGAAAACACACACAGAGACATCGTTCATGGTCGATTCCCCCGAACATGTGGGAACAGATGGGACGTGGGGGAGAAGACGAACACCCAGAGCACACACGTGGGGAAATAATTAGGGGGGGTATCTTTCTAGTCGTGTGTCTAGTTATGCGTGTCCCAGGGTCCCTTCAGTCTGGGCCCCCTCCTCCCCGGGAAAGGGGGCGGAGGCGCAGCAGCAGCAGCAGCAGCCGCCGCCGCCGCCGCCGCCGCCCTGCCCTTTTGGGGCGCCCGAGGCGCTGCCCCTCCTGGCCGCCGCGGGCCTCCGCGCTCCGCCGGGCGCCTCGGCGGAGCGCCCGCCCCCGCGGTGCCCCGCTCGGGGGGCGGCGACGGGGGGGACCTGGCTCCGGCAGTGCGCGAAGCGCCCTGGCTCGCCTATCCCAGACCCCCTCGCGCCGTGAAAAAATCACGGCGGGAGGTTTTTCCTTATTTTTGGCCTCTGGGGGCCCTTACCGGCCCTCGGGACCGTCAAAAAACGACTCAGGACGAGAAACCGGTCCCGGGGAATGGGTCGAGACCTCGGGGGGTCGACGTCACGAAGAAATCATGACGTCGGGGGTCTGGGATGTAGCCCTACCAAACAACGTTCTAAGAACCTCTGTGCGGTTCCCACGAAGTGTTCTTCGAACATTTCTGGCTGGGCCTGTCTTGGTTTATCACATCGGGCTTGTGTTCTGAGAGCATTGTCCCTGTTATCAAAACATGTCTGGGTTCTGAGACAATTTCGGGGGAGGACTACAGGAATGCCGGGACGGTCGGCCCCTGCTCACTAGGCATAGGGGGGGATGCATCGACCCCCAATCGCCCACTGATCGCCGAGAGGGGCCCGATAGCCCCACCCCGCCCAGGAAGGTGCGGATTCTCAGAGCCCCGAATCATCAGGGGTAACTCGGGTCAGGGATAACTCGGGTTCCTTTTTTGGGATTCCGAACCCGAGTTACCCCGGACCCGAGTTACCCCGGATATTTCGGGCGTCCAGAGCCCCCGAATCATCAGGGGTAACTCGGGTCAGGGCTAACTCGGGTTCGTTTTTCGGGAACCCAACCCCGAGTTACCCCGGACCCGAGTTACCCCGGATATTTCGGGCGTCCAGAGCCCCCGAATCATCAGGGGTAACTCGGGTCAGGGCTAACTCGGGTTCGTTTTTCGGGAACCCACACCCGAGTTACCCCGGACCCGAGTTACCCCGGATAACTCGGGCGTCCAAGATTCACTGTCTGTCGCCGATCTATCGACGACGTATCGCCGATCCCAGGTCGATGCATCACCCCCCATATGCCTATCCCCCCCCTATCGTTGCCCCTCCCCCGCGGGCCGGCTCCTCGCCCTCGCGACGACGACGACGACGACGACGACGACGACGACGACGACGACGACGACGACGACAACGCCGCCGCTGCCGACGACGACGACGACTCTCGGTGACGACTCTAGGCCTCCCACACGGGAGCCGAGCAGATGGGGTCTGAGGTTCGCGCCGCATCGCCGATGCGTCGACGATGCGGCTCGATGCGGAGCCCGATGTTCTTCGCGCCGGCGTCGCCGAGGCGTCGCCAATGCATCGCCGATGAATTGCCGATGCATCGGTGATGCAGCGCGATCATCCGACCCCATCTATTCCGACCCCATCCAGGAGGCCTCTACTCAGGCCAGAGGAATCCCCCCGCAGAGCCGCCAGCATGCGTTAAGTCACAGCGTTCACAGAGCCGTTACATGTCTTTCATGCTTGTCCATGCTCGTGGGCGGGAGTTGGTTGCCTTGCTTCCGCGCGCTGCCGACCCTGGAATGTAGGACTCGCGCACCCACAATCTAAGGGACCAGGAGCGACGTTGGTGAGAGCAACTACTACGCACGGCCTCCCGATGCAGCTCGCCTCGCAAGACGTCGAGCCGTCGGCCCGCAGGTGCTCTTGTGTGGTCTTGTCCTGCCCCTGCTGCTCTCGTATTCTTCCTCCCCAGAGACCCGGCGCTCCTGCTGAGTCCTGGTTCTTGATGGCCTGAGAGTTCGTCGAACGCGGCCTTCCTCCCCAGGACCAGTCGGCCCTGCGGGTGTTGATCAAGCTAATGAGCCAGGCGACTCCTGGGGCCATCGCTCCAGGAGTCGCAGGCTGGTACGGAGTAAAATAGGTTCGGGGTTCAAGGGATGGGGGTCAATGCAAACGGGGGTCAGCCAGAGCACCCGATCTTGCAGGATCCTGCAGGGCCAGGGTCGCATAACCCGGGTTTGGGTGCAGAATCCTGCAGGATTTTCTTGGATTTTTACCATTGACCCGGGCTTGAATGCAGGATCGTGCGGGATTCTGCAAGGCCTGACTGACCCGGGTCTGGATTGACCCGGGTCAGACGATCCCCGATAGGTTTTGTTCCTGCTGCTGATCCTCCTCCCGCCCCTGCTGTGTTCGTATGCCTCCTCCCCGGAGATCCGGCGCTCAGCACAAACTGGAGCGGCCGGTGTTTAGCTGTTGTCGGCCCGCGCGTTCCCTCGCCGGGCCTCGGGCCCGTCAACAGAAACACCGGCCCTAGAAGTGTGGTTCAGACCTCCGAGCATCGAAACAACAATTCGAGCAGCCGAGAGTTTTGGTCGTCCTCCTCCTGCTGTTCCTCCTGCTCCTGCTCCTGCTCCTCGCCATCCACCGCCCACCTCCCCTCCTCCCTGTCCCTATACAGCTGTACAGGGCGAGTACGGTCGGGAGCTGTTCGTTACCGCGTCGCTCCGCCAGTTCTGGCCCGCCTCTCTTCGGCGCGACACGCTGTCCACATCGTGGTCCCCAGGCGTTGACGTCCTGAGTTTTTCCCGGCTCCCCGTCCTAAGGAGCGGAGCGACACGCTATCCACTGGCAGGGCATAGCGTGTCGCCGGGGACGCCGCGGCGACACGCTAACAAACGGCTCCCGACCGTATTACTCTCCCCTCCCCCCCCCAAGAAGTGCTGAGCTATCGCGGCGCCCTCCGTTTTTACACTGGATCGGTCCGAGTTGGTTGGTTTCGAATGGCCTTCGGCCCATCCCGTCGCCGTGCAGGTTGTGAGTATAGAGCTTATTGGATGTGTGTGGGGACCTCGTGGGAGGCCTCTCGGCGGCCTCTTGGAGGCAATCTGGGCGACTCTTGGGGGCATCTTGGGACCTCTTTGGGGTATTTTGGGGGCCTCTCGAGGCCTCCTGGGCGCCTCTTGGAGCCTCCGTTGGGCCTCTTGGTGCGGAACGCTCTGAGGTCTGGTTCAAACTCCGTCTCTTGGGCCCCTTTTGCAGCCGTCTCGGGGACCTCTTGGGTCGTTCTGGACGCCTATTGGGCCGCCTTGGGGCGCTCTTGGGCCGTCTTGGGGCCCTCTTAGAGCCTCTCGGGCAATTTTGAGGTGGTCTTGGGGGCGTCTTGTGCCGTCTTAAAGCGTCGGAAAGCCGAAAAGGCGAGAACGCCACAAACTTTTAACAAACCTCAGAAAATCAATGATTTTGGCCTCGTGGGAGGCCTCTTGGAGGCCTCCTGGGGCGTCTGCAGGCCTCTTGGTCCATATTGAGGCCGCCTGGGGCGTCTTGGAATGATATGTCGGCGACTCGGAGCCTTCTTGGATCGTCTCGGAGCCCTCGTGGGGCCCTCTTGGCCCGCCTTCGGGCCATCCTTGTCTCGAATCAGTCTTGCGACAAGCCCCGGGGCAGCCCAGAGGGCACGCGGGAAGTCCCGATAGGTTTGAGAATGGGGGGGCCGAGGATCCAGGGATGAGGCAAAGGACCTGAGGACACGCCTACTCCGTGCCCAGAGGCACGATGGCGGATCATGTGTTTTCCCATTCCAACGTTCTCGTTTTTTCCCACATGGCGTTCTCGCTACAGCGTGGACCTCATTTTAGGATCGGGGCTCTGCTCCCGCGGTTCACAAGGGCGCTGTCGCCAAAGTGCGGGCCACGTTTCTGGATCCGAGTCTTTCCTCATCGTCGTCGCCCCCCCTTTTCCCATGCTTCGCCTTCTCCTGGGCCTCCTGCTCCTCCCACTCTTTTCACGGCGGTTCTTGCTGCTGATGTTCGTGGTCGTCTTCCTTCCCCTCCTTCTTCATCCTCTTGTTCTTCTCCCTTGTCATCTTCCTTGCTCATATGCATTCTCCTCCTCCGAGTTGTATGCGCAGATCTCATTGTCCCGATAGCGCATCACACAATTGTGTCCTTTCTGGAGTTCCAGGTCCGCTGTGGTACGCGTCCACGGATGGAGAAACAGTCCGCGCAATGGGAGGGAGGGATGGGAGGGGTAGGATGTCAGCTATGACACGAGCGCACCGCATGGCAGCCCCTGAACTATACAGGGAGGACCCCCTCCGTCCTCTCTCAGGGTGGTGGAACGCTGCCACGCGCAGAGGGGGGTAGCAGGAGGGGGACGGCTTCTTAGAAGCACCCGTGCTTCTTAGAAGAAGGCGTGGCCCTTGTCTGCAG